TTCGAGCCAATTAGGCAAGAAAAAGAAATCAAAGGGATACAAAAATGGGAAGGAGGAAGTCAAACTATCCCTATTTGCAGAGGATATGATTCTACATATAGGGGATCCAAAAAACTACACTAAACTCTTCTATGGAACTCACAAAAGAGTTTGGTAAAGTGTCAGGATATAAAATCAACACACAAAAATCAATAGTCTTTGTATACAGAGACAACCCGATGGCTGAGAAAGAATTTTTTTTTTGAGATTTCCTTTTTTGAATAGAAAACTTTTTATTTAATAAATTTCAAAAGTACAACTTTTGGATTATAGTGGTTCTTCCCCCCATAACCACCCTCCAACCCACAAACCAGCCCATCTCCTACTCCCTCTCATTCTTCATTAAGATTCATTTTTAATTATCTTTATATACAGAAGATCAACTTTATACTGAGTAAAGAATTCAACAGTTTGCACCCACACAGACACATAAAGTATAAAGTACTGTTTGAAGATTGGTTTTGTCATTAATTCTCATAGTACAACACATTAAGAACAGAGGTCCTACATGGGGAGCAAGTGCACAGTGACTCCTGTTGTTGATTTAACAATTGAAACTTATCTATGACATCAGTAATTACCTGAGGCTCTTGTCATGAGCTTCCAAGGCTATGGAAGCCTCTTGAGTTCACAAACTCCAACCTTATTTATACAAGGCCTTAATCAAAGTGGAAGTTCTCTCCTCCCTTCAGAGAAAGGTACCTCCTTCTTTGATGGCCCCTTCCAAGAAAGAATTTCTAAGATCAATCCCATTCACAATAACTACAAAGAAATATCTTGGAGTAAATTTAACCGATGATGTCCAAGATCTCTAAGAAAAGAATTATAAAACATTAAAGAAAGAAATAGAAGATACAAAAAAATGAAAAAATCTTCCATGTTCATGGATTGGAAGATTTCAGTATCATCAAAATGTCCATACTACTGAAAGCAATTTATATGTTCAATGCTATACCAACCAAAATACCAGGGACGTTCTTCTCAGATATAGAAAAAACGATGCTGAAATTCATATGGAAACACAGGAGACCAAGAATAACTAAAGCAATCTTACACAACAGAAACAAAGCCGGGGGCATCACAATACCAGATTTCAAGACATACTACAGGGCAGTTATAATCAAAACAGCCTGGAACTGGTAGAAAAACAGATGGATAGACCAATGGAACAGAATAGAAACACCAGAAATCTACCCACACATCTACAGCCAACTTATTTTTGACAAAGGAACTAAAATCAACCCCTGAAGCAAGGATAGTCTCTTCAACAAACAGTACTGGGAAAGCTGGATTTCCACATGCAGGAGCATGAAGCAAGGCCCCTTCCTACACCATACATAAGAATCTACTCACATGGATTAAAGACCTAAATCTATGACCAGATACCATCAACTTATTAGAGAACATTGGGGGAACCTGCATGATACTGGCATAAGCAAAGAGTTCTTGAAAAAACCCCAGCGGCATAGGCAATCAAAACCAAAAATGACAAAATTTGACATCAATTTGAGAAGCTTCTGCACTGCAAAAGAAATATACTGCAAAGTTAAGAGGCCAGTGACAGAATGGGAGAAATTATTTACAAACAACGCAATTGATAAATGATTAATAACCAGAATATATAAAGAACTCAAGAAACTCAACAACAGCAAAACAAACAACCCAGTTAAGAATTGGGCATAGGACTTAAATAGGCATTTTTCAAAGCAGGAAATCCAAATGAACAACAGACACATGAAAAATGTTCAGGATCACTAGCCATTAGGGAAATGCAAAGCAAAACCATAATGAGGTTTCACCTTACCCCAGTTAGAATGGTTTTCATACAGAAATCAACAATCAACAAATGCTGGTGAAGATGTAGGGAAAAAAGTACCCTAATCCACTGTTGGTGGGAATGTAAACTGGTATAGCCACTGTGGAAGACAGTATGAAGTTACATCAGAAATCTGAATCTAGACCCACCATGTGACCCCGCCATCCTACACCTGGGAATTTACCCAAGGGAAATGAAATCAGTATCTGAAACAGTTATCTGTACCCCCTTGTTTACTGCAGCTCACTTCACAATAGCAAAATGTCCATCAGCTGAAGTCTGGACAAATTATGGGATATGTACACCATGGAATACTACAAAGTGTTAAAAAAATGAAATCCTGTCATTTGCAACAAAATGGATGAACCTGGAAAACATCATACTTAGTGAAATAAGCCAGTTTTAAAAGGACAAATACCATATGCTCTCCCTGACCTGTGATAACTAATAAAGTACCTAAAAGATAATCTCTGGAAGTGAAATTGACACTTTGAGATGCAATGACTTTGAACAGCCCTTGTCTCGTCTGTTGAGGAACAGTTTTTTTTTTTTTTTCAATATTATCTGTTGTACTTGTTACTTAGTATAGTGTTCATCTTATGTATATAAAGGTAACTGAAAATAGATCTTATTAAAAATAAGAATGGGAATAGGAGAGGGAGGAGGAAGAAGGGTGACAGTGTGTATGGGAGGGCAGGTAGGGTAGGAAGAATCACTGTTACTAAAGTTGTATTTATGAAATGCATGAAGTTTGTATTCATTAAATGAAAGGTTTCTGGAAATAATACAACAAAGGCTTTTTTAGTTTCTCTACTGACTAAAAAATTTAGTTCCAAAAATTTTTAGGATTAACATTTTCTGTTTACTTAAAATTATTTGTTATTTTTATTTATCTGAAAGGCAGAGAGACATAGATTTCCCATTTACTGGTTCACTTCTCAAATGCCTGCCACAGCTGGGGGTAGGCCAGGATGAAGTCAGGAGTCCAGAACTTCATCTGGAAATTCCACGTAGGTGGCAGAGACCCACTACTTCAGCCACACAGGAAACTAACTGGATGTGGAGCCAGGAATCAAACCCAGGCACTCTATTATAGAGTATGTGGGTATCCCACACAGTTTTTTAACCACAGCACCAAATGCCCATCCCTCTATTTACTTTAGATGTTCTTTAGCAATACAGTTTCCTTTTTTTAAAACAAATATCCATTGCTAAAGGGGAAACTTTTTTCCTTTTGCATCTGGGACCCTAGAATGGCCTCCTGCAAATGATAAATTAAAAAAAATTTCATGATTTTCATGAGGGAAAATAGTGCAGGTTTGTTGCCTGTTTCATATTTTTAAACTTTAAGCAACTTACATGCCATCCCAGTGGAAGCACATCTATCCACAAAACGAAATTAAAACCTAAATAATATCCATGTTTTCAACTGACAACAGCTGTGAATTAAATTAGCTCTTTTTATTTGGCTTCATTTAGATTCACACTTGTAAACTGCACTTGCATCAGCAATTATTTTAATTATTTGTTGAATTCAGATCTTGTAATTCTATGGCTCAACTAACACTTCTGACTGCCTGCTATAAATGATGGGATAAATTAAAAAGCAAACATTAAATTTATTGATAACTCACTAGTTTTGGCCATATTCCTTTACTAGAGAAATGAGTTGCAACAATGGGCAAATTTAGCAAAAGTAGTTAGAACTGATATCAATAATGAGATGAGTTATTTTCCTTTCAAGCATTTTTCATTAATGTTTTCCTATACATTTACGTTTAATACTTTCAATGATTTAATTTTAAGCTCCCTAAAGGCAAGGGACAGTGTACCTATCACACTGATTTTTACTGGGCCCCTTAACCATACCACTTAACTATATAAATTATATTTCCAGTCTTAATGACTAAATATTGAGACACTAATCAACTGATATCTTAAAATTAGTTTGAAAAATATATTAGTAAATCACATCAGCAATCATTTATTGCCAATATCAAATGTATGCAAGCATATCCCAAGAAATAAAACAGCTGAATTATCCAAATTCCTATTTTCTCCACTGTATAGTTCTCATATGCAGAAAACAAAGTCAAATATTGTTTAAAAAATGCATTAAAATCTCATTTTGAAAGAAAGACCTGAACAGACATTTCTGAAAAGAGGATATCCAAAAGTTTAAAGAGAGGCACTCAGTTTCATTAGTCATCACCAAAATGCAAATTAAAATCACAATATACCATCCAGACCACTAAAATGAACAAGACAGGTAACACCAAGAGAAGACGAAGATGTAGAAAAATCTGATGTCCTGTTGGCCAGAGTGTAACTGGCACAATCACTTTGCAAAAATTGTTTGAGAATATTTATTAAAGCTGAACATAGTCATATTCTGTTACATACTCTGTTCACTTGTAGGTATATATTCAACAGAAATGCATAAATATATTCACTGAAAACATGCAGATAAACATTCACACACAATTTTTAACAGCCCAAATCTAGAAAAAAACCCAAATGGCCATCAACAGTGAAATGGATAAATGGTAGTACACTTACACAATGGAATATTAATACAGCCAAGAGAACAAATATACCATGCACACTGCAACACGCATGACTCTAACACAGTACAAATGAATCTATACACAAGGTAGTACATACTACACGATTTCATTTACATAAACACAGCAAACAGATGAAGGTAATACTTGTATGATGTTAGAAGCCAGGATAATGGCTGGTTTCAGGGGTGGGAGTCAGAGACTGGAGAGGAACTCATATTCGTTTCCTGGGTGCTGATGATGTATTTCTAATTCTAGTTAATAGTTAAAGTTGCTAAATTTTAAAAATCCATGCTGTACATGTAGAATTAATGTTTTTTCTATATATGTCACTAAAAATCAGACTGTGCTAAAATTCAGAGAAAAAATTATAAAAACTTCATTTTAAGATATTTTACTAACTCTTACATGGAATTATACTACGCCAATAAATTATTCACTTTCTTCAAATGTCTGTATTTTTAATTAATTACACTGAAAGTTAACTGAAATGTCACGGTTAATGCATTTTTCTGGGGACAGATCATAGCATATTATGCAAGAAAGTAAAAAGATTATAATGCTAGAAAAAATTAAAATACCTGTAGTCCCATTTCACCTCGGGCTACTCTCCAAGCCACTGACCCAGATACTCTTCCACCCAGTTCTCCAGCTTTAGGGGTTTTGGGAGATATAAATTCCACAAGTTCCACAATTATTCTCTGGAGAAGTTCTTTTCTTCTGTTTTCTGATAAAGACAGTTGCCTCTGTAATTCATATTTTGAAAAGTTAGGTTTAGGGGACTGAAGAGGTTCACATAAAAAAGAATAATCAATAGAGATTTGTATTTTAATAGATATTAAAGGAAGTAATTAATTTTATTTTCACAAATGTATTATTTGGAAAAGAAAAAGCATATTGTGCAAAACTTAAAATAACTTTACAAGGCTGGCGCTGAGGCGTAGTGGGCTAAGATTCCACCTGCAGAGCCAACATCCCAAATGGGCGCCAATTCTAGCCCTGGCTGCTCCTCTTCTGATACAGCTCTCTTTATGCCCTGGGAAAGCAGTAGAAGATGTCCCAAGTGCTTGGGGCCCCTGCACCCACCTTGGAGACCTGGAAGAAGCTCCTGGCTCCTGGCTTCAAATTGGTCCGGCTCTGGCCGTTGTGGCCACGTGGGGAGTGAACCAGTGGATGGAAGACCTTTCTCTCTGTCTCTCCCTTCCTTTCTCTCTAACTCTACCTCTTAAACAAATAAATAAAATCTTAAAAAAATTAGTAACTTTACAATTTTTATCTTGAGAAATCATTTAAGGACACCTATTTCCAACTCTCCATGACCCCAACTATCCTAGATTACAAATGGAGGTAGCACGTTCTCCTCCTGCCATGCTGGTCAGGCCAACTGTCCCACCAAGAAAAGCTGGAGATCTAAGATGGCTGAACAGGGTGCAGCCACACTTCAGCTGCTCTGGGATACAGAAAGAACAAAGGAAGAACGTATTTCCAGAGGTCTAACTGACAGAAATTTTTGGCAAAGAAGTGAAAAAACCAGACAGACACAGTGGGACAAGAGGCGAGCAGACAGACGCCAGTGCAGCCAGCTGTGTGGCGCAGCCGGCTAAAGGCTGCGAGCCGCCATTGTGTCATGACAAGGCAGAAGAACCTGCTGTGTGTCTGCTAGGGCACAGCTTTAGCTGGGAAGGATTCCACAGTCACCCACTTTTCTTCAGCCTCGGGAGCTGACTAGGGCCTGACCACTGCCAGGTGTGGCGCAGGGCAGCTGCCTTGCTTCTTTCCCCTCCATCACTCTAAGCACCATACTCTAAGCTGGGCAGTGCTCCTCTGTTCCGCTCCTACCGCCATGAGAATCAGTGTCGAGAGATGCCATCTTCTAAACAGAAATGAGAAGAGACTGCGGCAGCCCGCGTCACTGATGATTCCTAAGGGAGAACCTTGCAGACCACGCAGACTTTGAGTCCAGCCTCGAGTGCTAGCGGTGGGGTAGGGTGCCCATCTAACCCCGTGAAGCAAGAGCACACTGCCTGTTTCTGATCCCCTCCACAAGGTCTCCTGGCAAATAGCAGGGAGGGAGCGCCATCGTAACAGGGAAGTATAGGCTGCTACGGCTTCCCCTTTATGACTAAGGAATTTTATCTGTGGGATAAACCCATGGTCCCTGCGGATTGTGAGTCTGGCCTAGAGGGTTGGCATGGGGCTGGGCACCCACTTAAGCCTGTGAGGTGCTCTCCTCTTCTCTATATTACTGTGCCTGTACTCAAACTGCCAAGGCAGAATACTGACAGGCAGCTAGCACTGGCAATGCTGTGGCTCTCTCTGTGGAAGGAGCAGCCTTGTCGCGCTTGAGGGTGGATCCCTGCTCCATGTGACTGTGGGAGTTCTGACTGCATGGGAGGGCGTGGAGCTCTGAGTCTCTAGGCAATCACTGTGTCTGGGTTCAGAGGCTCAGCGTTTCCTGACTGCTTGGAGTGGTCACTGCTCATACTGAGGACCACACACATCCTTTGCATGGTTAATACGATTGAGTGGGTAAGCTGTGTACCCACCACCATGGGCTCGCCCTGGGCATCGATCACCTTGGCAGAAGGAGGCGGGCGAGGCAGGGATCACACCAGCTGACATGATCATACCACCTGCTGACAACAGAGGCAATCTACTATGCCCAACTTGGGTGGCACCCTGGCCTCCTGGACCACACTGAGAGCACTGAGTGGAGCTTCCTGACCCACCCAGCAGATGCCTTTGAATGTCCACTAAAGGAGCAGACACTCCACTAAGCCAGGGAGGCATATTTCAAACCTAAAAGCCATTGGAGGAAAAAACCAACAAGTGGTTCCACAAATGCCTAAAAATAAACATAGAAACACGAAAAACAAGAACAAGGAAGACAATACGACTCTTCCAAAGGAACACAGCAACAGAATGTGAAGAGGAGATCGGTGGAAAGGAATTCAAAAGATTAAGCATAAGATTACTGAGAAGCACATTTAGGAGGTAAAGAAATCTATACATGACATGGATAAAAATTTTCCTATGAGATAGAGGTTCTGGAGAGAAATCAAACTGAAATATTAGAAATGAAGAATTCAGGAACCGGCACTGTGGCATTGTGGGTAAAGCCACTGCCTGAAGTGCTGGCATCCTGTATGGGTATTGGTTTGAGACCCGGCTGCTCCACTTCCAATCCAGCTCTTTGCTAGGGCCTGGGAGCGCAGCAGAGGATAGCCCAAGGCCTTGGGCCCCTGCACCTGCGTGGGAGACCCAGAGGAAGCCCCTGGCTCCTGGCTTCGGATCTGCATAGCTCCGGCTATTGTGGCCAATAAGGGAGTGAACCAGCAGATGGAAGACCTCTCTCTCTCTCTCTGCACCTCTCCTCTCTCTGGAACTCTTTCAAATAAATAAATAAATCTTTAAAAAAAGAAATGAAAAATTCAATATGTTTAATAAAAGATATAGTTGGAAAGCTTTAACAACAGAGTTAGTGAGGCACAAGAAAGAACATCAAGCTAGAAGACAAATCTTTGGAAATATCTCAGATCAAAAAAAAAAAAAAAAAAAGAGAGAAAAACTGAAAAAATGTTAGAGACTTATGGAATACCATCAAATGACCTAACATATGTGTCCTGAAGGTGTGGAAAGAATTGATTAGAAGGTCTATTTGGTGAAATAATAGCAGAAAACTTTCCTAGTTTGGAAAAAGAAAGGGGCATCTAAATATACGAAGCACATAGAACTAAATCTGACCAGAAGAGATCCTCATCACAACACATTATAGTCAAACTTTTTTTTTTTTTTGACAGAGTGTACAGTGAGAGAGAGAGACAGAGAGAAAGGTCTTCCTTTGCCATTGGTTCATCCTCCAATGGCCGCCACGGCCGGCACACTGCGCTGATCCGATGGCAGGAGCCAGGTGCTTATCCTGGTCTCCCATGGGGTGCAGGGCCCAAGCACTTGGGCCATCCTCGACTGCACTCCTGGGCCCCAGCAGAGAGCTGGCCTGGAAGAGGGGCAACCGGGACAGAATCTGGCGCCCTGACCGGGACTAGAACCTGGTGTGCCAGCACCGCAAGGTGGAGGATTAGCCTAGTGAGCCGCAGTGCTGGCCAATAGTCAAACTTTTAACACTGAAACATAAAGAAAAGATTCTATGATGTGCATCAGAGAAATACAAGATTACCTTCAGAAGATCTCCAACTAGGCTGATAACTGATTTCTCATCAGCAACCCTACAGTCTAGGAGAGAACTGAGAAGCATAATCTAAGTCCTAAAACAAAACAAACAGAAAACCCTGTCAACCCAGAGTACTCGACTCTTTGAAGCTCTCATTTACAAAGGAAGGTGAAATAAAGACGTTCCATAACAAACAGATACTGAAAACATTTGTCAACACTTGTCTAGTCTTACAAATGCTTAGGATGTGCCACAAACAGAAACACAGTCAACACTATGAAAGAATATGCAGGCAGAAAATCTCTCAATAAAGTACAAAGGAAATTCAAAACAAACAATAGGAATATTAATTATTTATTAATTCTCCAAATAAAAGATACAGACTGAATGGATTAAAAAAAAGACTAATTTCATTTTTTTCTCAAGCTATTCAAAACAATTAAAAGGGAGAGAATCATCCCAAACTCCTATGAAGTCAGCATCACCTTAATTCCAAAACTTGAAAAAGATACAACAAAGAAAGAAAACTGCAGACAAATATCACTGATGAATGTAGATGCAAAGATCCTCAACAAAATACTAGCTGATAGAATTCAACACATCAGAAAGATCATTCACCTGGACTAAGTGATATTTATTCCTGGTATGCAGGGATGATAATCATCAACATACATGAATCAATAAAGATGATACATCACATTAACAAACTGAAGGATAAAACCATATGATTATCTCAATAGATACAGAGAAAGCATTTGATAAAATACAACACTTTATGATGAACACCTTAAGCAAATTGGGTACAGAAGGAACATTCCTTAAACAGTCAGGGCGATATACGACAAATCCACAGCTAGCATCACGTTGAATGTGGAAAAGCTAGAAGCATTTCCACTAAGATCTGTAACAAGACAAGGAAGCCCACTTTCACCACTGCCATCAATAATAGTTTTAGAAGCTTTAGCCAGAGCCATTAAGCAAGAAAAAGAAATCAAAGGTATACAAATTGGAAAGGAGAAAGTCAAATTACCTAAATTTTCTGGATGGGATCTCAGAAGAGTTTATGCTGGAAGAAAGAACAAATTCACGACAGACTGAAACCTTACCTTGAACCTCAACTACTAATTGGACTAAGGTGGTCTGCCTTATGTTAACTGCCTGTCAAAAGGAAAACTAGTTTTGTTTTAAGATTTTATTTATTTGAGAGGTAGAGTTACAGTGAGAGGAAGAGACAGAGAGAGAGAGGTCTTCCATCTGCTGGTTCACTCCCCAGATGGCCACAATGGCCAGGAGCCAGAAGCCTCTTCCGGGTCTCCCACGCAGGTGCAGGGGCCCAAGGACTTGGGCCATCCTCCACTGCCTTCCCAGGCCACAGCTGAGAGTGGGATCAGAAGAGGAGCAGCCGGGACTAGAACCGGTGCCCATATGGGATGCCGGCACCACAGGCAGAGGACCAATCCACTGCACCATGGCACTGGCCCTGGAAAACTAGTTTTTAATTATGAAAAAAGTCTACATGGATAGTAAAATTTTCCATCTTGGACATCTAGTTCCTCTTCTCAGAAGTCACCCTTGTTAATAAATTCCTGTATCTTGATACAGAAATTTCCATACATGGACAGGTGTATGTGCATACATATGTACATATATATTAAAGACTTTAATAAACAACATTTTTATGTTGAGTAACATTATATTCAAATTTTGTTTCACTGAAATTTGAGAAGAGTTTTGACAATTTAATCTAGAAATCCATAATATTTAAAAAGAATCCTCAAAATTTTCAATAAACAAAAAAGAACACTTAACATCTTAATATATTCTCACTTATAAATAATGCTACAATTAAGTCTGTCAATGGGCTGAAAACTATATATTCTTAATTACTTAAGAAATGTCAAATGTCCTAGCACAAATGACAACTATCCATCATATACCTGCTTATTAAGGCCATTGATAGTTTCTCGAAGTAAGTCTTCTTTAATCTTATTTCTTCTGGAGATTACCTCTGCATGTTTACAAGAATATCGCCAAGTGACATCGACTACCTGAAACAAATTACATATACAAATATTTAATAAGATTATAGGCATCAATCATTATTTGTTAAATAGCAGGAATGTATATAATTTTAAACACAACTTAAAAAATGCTGTTTTGCTTAAAATTTTAAAACTTGTGAAAGAGAATATGATATTCATTTATTTATTAATCCATTTGAGAGGCAGAAAGGCAAATAGAGAGTGGATGAGTGTGAGCTCCAATCCACTGATTCATTTCCCAAATGCCTGAGACGGCCTGGGACCAGGAGCTAAAGCAGGGAGCTAGGAACTCAATCCACATCTCCTGCGGGGGTGGTAGAGAACAAGTTCTGTGAGCCGCCCAGAGTTCACATTACCAGGAAGATGGAGTCAGAAGTTAGAGATGGCTATTGAACTCACACGATCCACTATGGGATGCCAGCATCTTAACTGTTAGGTCAAGTGCCTGCCACCGAGAATACACTTTATATTCATTTTCCAACAGGTGCCCTTTCGAGAAACAATATGTTTTAAAACAAGAAATTTTCAAAATACTAGGTTAACTTATATACAAAACTTATTCCAGATAAAATTCAACAGACAAAAACTTCACCTGCTTTTTATTGTATTAAATTTGAATTACAGGGCTGTCACTATGGTGTAGATGCTGGTGTCCCACATGGGTGCCAGTTCATGTCTCAGCTGCTCCTCTTCCAATTCAGCTCTCTGCTATGGCCTGGGAAAGCAGTGGAAGTGCACCCGCATGGGAGACCCAGAAGAAGCACCTGGATTTTGGCTTCAGATTGGTCCAGCTCCAGCTACTGCGGCTCTTTGGGGAGTGAACCAGTGGATGGAAAACCTTCCTTTCTCCCTTTCTCTCTCTCTCTCTCTCTCCCTCTCTCTGTCTATAAGTCTGCCTCTCAAATAAATAAGTGAAATCTTAAAAACAAAAACAAAAACTAAGTTTTGACCAAGGTACAAAGATAATTCAAGGAATAAAGGATCTTTTCAACAAATGCTGTTATAATAATTCATTACTCATATGTCGAAAATTATCTTCAATCCATACCTTGTACCATATAAAAAATGAACTCAAAATGGAACACAGACCTAAATAGATAAAAGTTCTAAAAGAAAACTTAGGACAAAATCAGTGTTGCCATGGGCTAGGCAAATCTCCATACAACATCAAAAAGTATAATCTATAAAAGAACAGACTGACGAATTGAATTCATTGGTATTTTCTTCAAAAGTCATTCATAAAGTACATGAAAAGATAAACAATAGAGGGAGAAAAATTTTCGCAAAGCACAATTTTGATAAAGGACTGAACAAATTTTGGGGGGGGGGGCAAGAATTTAGTGTAATGGAAAATCACTGCTTGGGCTGCCTGAATTCCACACTGGAGCACCTGCATTTGGGTACTGGCTCCACTCATGATCCCAGGAATGCACCCTGGGATGAAGCAGGTAACACTTCAGGCATGTGGAGTTTTTGCAGCCCACTTTGGATTCCTGAGTTGAGCTCCTGGCTCTTGGCTTCAGCCTGGCTGCTGTGGCATTTGGAAAGTGAACCAAAGGATGACAGCTGGCTGTCTCTCAAATAATAAAGAAATTAACGAAAAAGCAGTTTAAGAAGCTTCTTAAAAAGTTATACAGGGGTTGATAGTGTGGTGCAGTGTGTGAAGTCACTGCTTGCATCCCATGTTGCAGCATAGATTTTAGTCCCAGCTGTTTCTCTTTCAATGCAGCTAAAGCACATGGGGAAGTAGCAGAAGATGGCCCAAGTATTTGGGACCTTGCCACCCATGTCAGGGACAGGTTGGAGTTCCAGGTTCCTGGCTCCAGCCTGGCTGTTGTGGTCATCTGGGGGATGAACAAAAAATGTTAAGAAAGATTTATTTAATTGAAAGGCAGAGTGACAGAGAGGGAGAAACAGAGAGATCTTACATCGCTGGTTCACTCTCCAGATGGTTGCAATAGCTGGGCCTGGACCAGACAGAAGACAGGAGCCAGGAACTTCTTCCAGGTCTCCCACGTGAGTGTTAGGGGCCTAAGGACTTGAGCCATCCTCTGCTGCTTTCCCCAGACCATTAGCAGGGAGCCAGATTGGAAGTGGAGCAGCCTGGACTCAAACTGGTGCCCACATGGGATGCTGGCACTGCAGGTGGCAGCTTTATTTGCTTTGCCACAATGCTGGCCTCAAATAAATACATCTTAAAAAAAAGTTATACACTTCAGGATGATACAGTCATTCTACTCCTAAGCATGATACAGACAGAGAAAAGTGTATGCCCATATGATTTGTGTGCCTGAATGTTCATAACACTCAGCACAGAACCAGAAACTAACTATAGTACATCCATACAACACAATACTGACTGCAGTGACAATTTCACAGGTGCACACAAATGACAAGACTTAAATTATACACTTTAAATTTATACAGCATATTATAGGTAAATACAATAAAACTGTCAACATTATATTTATTCTTAGAAGAAAATTTTCTTTTGCCCTACCTCGTCTTTAGAAAATGCTAGTACATAGGACAGCTTCTTGCCCCAGCCTACTTCATACAGGAGTGGCTTGTCACAGACATCTTCACATGCGTCACAGTGCAGCCACCGCTGCTGCGAGCCGGAATAGACTTCAGTCCAGACATGGTCTACTCCAGCCAGGGAGAAGAGAACAATGGAAAAAGGAGGTAAAAGTGAAGTTTACAGAACCAGAATGCTCTTCACTAACTACAATAATCCCTAATATCAGAATCACACAATAAGGTAATGTGTAGCACTCTAAATTTTAGTTAATATGAGCATTTTTTGGCATATAGATTAGAATACTTGTATTAACTTCTCTATCTCTTCAAAATGTCCCAAAACACTTTTGGAATAATCTTTAATGCAAGTTGGTTTTAGCCTTAATTAACTCCAAAGGAGAACCTATTTATTAACACTGCCAAAATCATCAGGCTCAGCCTAGCAACACTGGGACATCCACACCACTTCTGAAACATCAGTCTCTCTCTCTTCAGACTTTTAGATCTAGACCCAGTAGGTCTAACTGGATCTCTGGTTATTGGTGCTGTATATTTTATTTTTAAGAGAGCAGTAACTATTAACTGAAGATTTTATTTGAGTCTAAAAAAACCAACAGAAACATAGATAAAATTCTAACAACAAAGAAAACAACTTTTTAACATGCAGACAAACATGAACTATTTCTAAATAAGACAGCACTGGGGCCAGAACTGTGGCACAGCAGGTGAAGCCGCCACCTTGGCATCCCATATGGCCACCGGTTCTAGTTCTGGCTGCTCCACTTCTGATTCAGCTCTCTACTGTGGCCTAGGAAAGCAGTGAAAGATGGCCCAAGTTCTTGGGCCCTGCACCTGTGTGGGAGGCCTGCAAGAGGCTCCAGGCTCCTGGCTTCAGATTGGCACAGCTCTGGCCATTGTGACCATTGAGGGAGCAAACCAGTGGATGGAAGATCTTTCTCTTCCTCTGTCTTTGCCTCTCTATAACTCTGCCTTTCAAATAAATGAATCTTGAAAAAAAAAAAAATGTCACAGGCTATTACTACATTATTTTTGAATAGTGCAATTTAAGTTCACTAAATCTTCTGTAGAAATTCCTAAAAAAAGAAAATCCCTATAGCACATTATTATACATGTTCTTATCTATACAGAAGCAGCATTACTATAAATATCATGGTAAAGTGCTAATAAATGGATTTCAACCTTTTGTGCACTAAAATAAAAATCTTCAAGCTCAATTTTCCATGAACATTTTGAAGGATCTTCATATTACAAAACTTCTAATTCTTTCAAAAAACCTGTGAGGCTGATATTGTTACTGAGGAAAATGGAAGCTGAGACTGACAAGGGTGGAAAGTGACAGACAAAATGATAGGCTCATAGGATAAATCTAAACCGGTCAGGCTACAAAGCCCTACAACTCTCTGCTCAGAGCAGGTTCTGTACCTGTATAATCCCAAACATAGCGAGCTTCAAACCCTAAAGCTCGGCAACACAGTGTGAAACAATTGGCCCACTCGCCACATCGTCCAGATCTTGTTTCCAGAAGCTTTTCAGGGTTATTATACCTGTTTAAAAGGAAAAAGGGAGCTTTAATTTATTATCAAAATCAAGATTTTAAAAGAATCTATATCATCTCTATGCTAAATAATCATCATGATTCTTCATTTTTAATTGCGGAATACTGGTTGCAGAGTCTCTAATATATAAAGATTTGTGCTAGGCTCTTTGTCTAAATGATTAAACAGACATGCTACCTCCAAGGTATTTACATTCCTGAAAGAAGCAACTAACACAAATGACTTTAATAAATGGTCGAATGTGAGACAAACCATATACACAATAGGTCGGATTTTGTTGTGGACGAGTGGCTGGGGAGAAGATGTATTTAGTGGACTTTGAAAGGTAGGATCTGAACAGGCAAATTCTCTAGGACATCTGCTAAAAGCATCAGCATTACTCTACTGAGTGGTGTAATTAGCTCATTGTACTTAATTTTATTTAAGATGTGATTTTTCTAATGATTATTTTGATTAAATTTTATTCTTCTAAAGTATTTAAATGAGTTATTTGGTAATGTAGAAGCTGATTTTTGAGGAATAGTGGGTAAAGCTGCCACCTACTATGCCAGCATCCCATATGGGTTCTGGTTCTAGTCCCAGCTGCTCCACTTCTGATCCAGCTCCCGGCTAATGTGCCTGGGAAAGCAACAGAAGATTGCCCAAGTGCTTGGACTGCTGCACCCACGTGGGAGACCAGAAGCTCCTGGCTCCTGGCTTCAGCATGGTCCAGCCCCAGCATTTGTAGCCATCTATGTAACTCTGCCTTTCAAATAAATAAAATAATTCCTTAAAAATTTTTTGCAGCATTCTTTTCAAAGTTACTCCAATTATAAAATTATAATCACAAAACTAGAGAACATCAAAGTGTGCATGTGGTGCTGGGAAGTATTCTGAGCTTATGCAGGAAGGAGGAAAAGTGTCCCAGCAGAGGAGGACGGCAGCCATGAGCTTGGGAAGTAAAGGAAACAGCATGAACGAACAGGCCCTGCAATAAGCAAGTTTTGTTAAGCAGATGTTCTTGCTTACACTAAGTTAAATGAACTCAGAGCTCAGGTAACACAGTATTTGAAAAAAAGGTGCACATTTATATTAAGGAATGGTAACATAATTACAGTATTCTATACACTTCTCTTCATACTCTACTAGTACCAAGTCAAACGATCTGTTAGTCCCTAATTATTAATAGAGTTCATATCCAAATCCTAAATAGAGAAGACCTAACAGTTAAACAAGCAAATGATTAGAAAGTAAAAGAGTAACAAATAATATCTTGTATAAATATTTGTAAGCCAGTGCCACTCCACACTGATTAATAGTTTACATTCAATTGTCTAGAAAGAGTGTATCAGAACAGGGACATGCACATACACATGTGTCTTCTAATATCTGCAAAGGGCCTGTGCAAATGTATGCTGGGAGAAGGAATAACACACACATTTTTAGATAATTAATGGGTATTAGATGCTGCTTATCTTATATTCTGTATATTGCAGGGCTGGTTCCAAATTAGGAACAGAGTTCCTAAACCCCCAAGATTAGGTATGAAAACATTCACAAAACATAATTATATGAATCAGCAGGGCACACTAATAAAACTTTATTTACAAAAATGGTATGTATGGGCAGGTGTTGTGGTATAGTGGGTTAACCATGCAGCTGCCTGCAATGCCAGTTATCCCACATGCTGCCAGTTCGAGTCCTGGCTGCTCCACTTCTGATCCAGCTCCCTCTTGATGTGCCTGGTACAGCAGCAGATGGCTCAACAACTTGGGCCTCTGCCACCCATGGGGGAGACCCAGATGAGTTCCAGGCTCCTGGCTTTGACCTAACTCAGCACTGGCCATCATGGCCAGTTTGTAGTTCACTAGTAGTGAACTAGGTGATGGAACATCTCTCTGTCTCTCCCTCTCTCTAATTCTGTATTTCAAATAAATAAATAAATCATTAAAATAAGCATGTGGGCAGTCATATTTGCTGATCTATGTCCTAGAAGAATATATTATAATATTTGAAATGAAGACAAATTCACTTAATGACACTTCACTCCCACCTACTCCACCATCAGATTTTTCTGACTGTTCTCCATATACTCACCTTGGGAATCTATTGCTGAACTGGCATGCATCACAGTAATGATCTTCTACTCTTCTTGCGTCCCACTTCAGCTCCTCCTCATTGGGCAACAATGTTACATCTCTAGATTTAGTCTGCCCACCACATTTAGTGCACGAAACGTTATTCACCCAGTGAAAAAACTCCTCCTTAAACCAGTGCAAAAGCTCCAGCAAAAGGAAGTCCTCATCATTTAGATTAGTACCTGAGAAGTTAAAAAGAAAACTAAGCATTAGATCTAAAACTGACAAAAATATAAAAATATACATAAATATTTTATTCTTAAATTTAGAATCTAGGTAAAAACATAATTGAAAAAGTTGCAAATTTACATTAAAGTAGAGTAATAATAGAATAAGAGCATCCTTTCCCTATTATGAAACATAAGAAGGCATGAAAGGCTTTCAAAAAGAGGCAGGAAATAATTGTCTGTATATTGTGAACTGGGCTGAAATACAATGACCTGTGTAACCACACACTGAGAACATTTACCCATTGGCTACTTGAGTGGAACATCAAGTCCTCTCAGCGAACTACTATCAGCTTGAAATTGATCTTGAAGCATGAGGGAGGTAGGAAAATGAGTCTGATTTTAAAAAATAATTTAAAATGGCTATATTAAATTCATCAAGTGTATCCACAAGCAAACATAAAACAATTTCAAAAAAGGCAGAAATCACTAATTTCAAAAATAATTCCATAGCTTTTATTTTTTAAAAAGATTTATGACTTATTTGAAAGGCAGAGTTACAGAAAGGTGGAGAGAGAGAATGAATGAATGAATGAATATCTTCCATCCACTTGGTTCACTCCCCAAATGGCTGCAATGGCCAGAGCTGGGGCATTCTGAAGCCAGGAGCCAGGAGCTTCTTCCCAGTCTCCCACATGGGTGCAGGGGCCCAAGGACTTGGGCCATCTTCCACTGCTTTCCCAGGCCACAGCATAGAGTTGGAACGGAAGCAGTGCAGCGAGGTCTAAAATCAGCAGCCATATGAGATGCCAGCACTGCAGGTGGCGGCTTTTCCTGCTATGCCACAGCACTGGCCCCACTCTATAGCTTTTCTTTCTATTTAAAGATCTATTTATTTATTTGAAAGTCAGAGTTACACAGAGAGAGAAGGAGAGATAGAGAGGGAGAGGTCTTCCATCTGCTGGTTCACTCCCCAGTTGGCCACAAGGCCGGAGCTGTGCCGATCTGAAGCCAGGAGATCCAGGAGCTTCTTCTGGGTCTCCCACGCAGGTGCAGGGGCCCAAGGACTTGGGCCATCTTCTACTGCTTTCCCAGGCCACAGCAGAGAGCTGGATCAGAAATGGAGCAGCCGAGTCTTGAACTGGCACCCATACAGGATGCCGACACTGCAGGCAGTGGCTTTACCCGCTACGCCACAGCGCTGGCCCCTCCATAGCTTTTCTATCAGTGTTTCAATTGTGCACTATGATCCATCCATAGATATTCATCCCCAAAATGCAACCCTAGCAAGTAAATTTGACAGATAATATTATAACCACTTTACCGAATAAAAAGAACTTTCTTTTTCATATTTGAGACTTGTGGTATCTCTGGAAAGTGGGGAAGGAAAAAGGAAAAGAATCAGAGATGCAAAAGCAGCTTCCATCTCTATGTTTATTGTTATTATTAAAAATTAAAATAAAAACATATATACAAAGGAAATACATGGCATAATGTTAAGATCTAATAAAGTTGGTCATAGGTGTTTGATACATTATACTCTATTCTTATATTTATGTTTGGTGTATTGCAAAATATAAAACTGGGGGCCAGTGTTGTGACACAGCCAGTAAAGCCATGGCCTGCGATGCTGGCATCTCATGTGGGCACTGATTTGTGACCCAGCTGGTCCACTTCTGATCCTGCTCCCTGTTAACAGCCTGGGAAAGGCAGCAGAGGATGGCCCAAGTGTTTTGGCCTCTCCTGGCTTTTGCCTGGCCCAGCACTGGCCACTGTGGCCATCTGGAGAGTGAACCAGAAGATACAAGATCTCTCTTGCTGCCTCTCTCTCTCTGTAACCTTTTCAAAATACATAAATCTTAAAAAAAAAAAAAAGTAAAAACCACAGTAAGAAAATTAAAGAGAAAGCGAATATAAAAAGGCCAAAAAATATATTCTCCACAAATTAATCTACAATTTAATACCAGCCCAGTTAAAGTTAAATGTTTTCATAAAATTTGACAAGCTAACTATAAAATTCATGTGAAAGAGAAAATGTACAAAATACCTAAGCCTTCTTCATATAACAAGAGCTGTGACCTATGACAGAGAAACAGATCTGACTGGCAGGGAGAGTTTAGCTTTTCATATATAAAAGGGAACACAGAGGAAAAGGCAATGCCAAGATGCGGCAGAGAAATTTGACTATACCTACTATTTTTTTTTAAGATTATTTATTTGAAAGGCAGAGTTACTGGAGGGGGCAGGGGAAGACAGACAGGAGAACTTCCATCTGCTGGTTCACACCCCGAAAGGCCACAATGCCTGGAGCTGGGTCAGGTTGAAGCCAGGAGCCAGGAACTCCATCCAGGTCTCCCAGATGGGTGGCAGAGGTCCGTCCTCCACTGCCTTCCCAGGTGCATTAGCAAGGAGTGGATCAGAAGTGGAGCAGCAGGACTCAAACTGGTGCCCAAGTGGTATGCTGGCACTGTAGGCAGTGGCCTTACCTGCTACTCCACCGCACTGGCCCCTAAACCTGTATTAAGAATGGAGTGATCCAATTGTAAGCAAGGACTGCCAGCAGCCACCTTGTTAGAAACATCCTTTGCTTCATTTTACCTCTAGATCTTTTTGGAAAAATTAAATTTAGTATACACTACTCTGCCTGAAACCCAAAGTCATCAAAAATATGGTTCTCAGCCTACCTGATCTTCCACTGCTGCTTCACACATGTACTACACGGCACACAAACTGTGTTCCTCATTGTTCCCCAAATGGAGCTGTGCTTTTCTGCCTCCATGCATCTTCTTCACCATACTTGTAAGAAAACCCCTAGACTCTGCCCCTCACGGCCTTCAAGAAAAAAATATTTTACTGATTTTCCCAGTATCTTATGACCAACCTGAGGTGTTGTTTCTTTCTCATTTCATTGAAAACTTTTAAGTGTGAAGGACATATACTCAGACCTTAAAAGTACTCATATGTGATGAATCTAGTTTCTCCTAGCCCTATGATCCAAATTTTCTACAAAACAAAACAAAACAAAAACCCAAAACAATTAATTATTTTTATAAATAGAGGGAAAGGTCAATTGAGACTGACAGCAGATTTTACAGAAAATGGACTTGAAGTCCTAGCTGGGAACACTGTGAGGACAAGAGCACAAATATATCACACCATTCACCTAACCGGTACTTCTCTTTTGTGGATCGTGTTCCTTGAGAGATTTTTTGTTTGCTGCCTGCCTAGAGAAAAAGAATGTGCTGGACACAAACAAGAGTATCTGTTGCTGCAATATTTCTCAATTTATTCATCTGTCAATATATTGTTTTAAAATTGTACTTCATACACTATATTTGCTGGACCCTGTTTCATCCTCAGTTGTCTGCTTATTTTAATTACTGTACCCTGTTCAGCTGCTTCTCTCTTTTTTTAAATAAACTTATCATTTAATTCCATTTTCCATGAAATTTTTTTTAAAGATTTATTTATTTATTTGAAAGTCAGAGTTACAGAGAGAGAAGGAGAGACAGAGATCGATGTTCCAACCGCTAGCTCATTCCCCAAATGGTTACAACAGCCAGGGCTGGGCAAGGCTGAAACCAGGAGCTTCACCAGGGTCTCCCATGTGGCTAACAGAGGTCCAAACACTTGGGTATCTTCTGCTGCTTTCCCAGGCACATTAGCAGGAAGCTGGATCAGAAGTGGAGCAGCCAGCACTTGAACCAATGTCCAGATGGGATGCCAGCATTGCAGGATGGGCTTAACCTGCTACTCCACAGTAGCGTCTGGCTTCCACAGTGTCCAATTCCATGATTCTAACACAGAGTGTGTTCAGTAAGTGTCTAATAAACAGGCATTTATGTAAAGCACCATATTTGAAACAGTACTCTGAGGCTGGACAGAGCCTTTATGATCACATATGGTAAACATCCTTGTTTGACAGACACACACACACACACACACACACACCCCTCCAATGTGTGCTTACAGGGAGCAGAAGCCTCAGGAGCCATAAGAACATCTAGGTGGTAATTTTAACAAACTGTTGGGGAGTCTAAGTCTGCGCGAACCAGCTCAGGAGTAAGAAATGCAGTCCTGGTAGACGTCTCCACATTTTTGTCATTTTGCTTCCAGGAATCCACCAGGTTCTCATGATGAAGAAGTAAGAGCTGTGAGGTACACCCACAGTGTCCTATACAATCAATACCAACTTGTCAAGGAAAGGGTTCACCACAGCCTTATCTAACCTGGCCTTCCCTTCTCACCTATGAGAAGAAAAGGGCTACGAAATGCTTGTGAAGGAGTCAGGTCCATGTGATAGAGCCCATGAGAACACCGAGATTCGATCAAAAGATTATGGAAACTTCTCCTGCCCCACACCTTCCCTTACATCACATCAACAGGGTTCCAGTATAACCACAGGGGATTACAACTCAAAGATGGACAAGATGCAGACTGCAAGGAGGAGTTCTTAGGAAACTCAAAAACTAGAGCACCAGAGGAAGATGACACCTAGAGCTACAGCAAACATTACACACGGCACAATTTCCAGCTAGACTGACAAATCTTACAAAAATCTGTTTCCCTCAGTTTCTATTATCTAATATATCATGTCCAGTTTCAACAAAAAATTCCAAGGTATGCTAAAAAGCAAGAAAAAGAATCAGTTCAAACATACAAAGCAAGCACCAGACTCACTTTCATGTAGTACAGAGTTTGGATTTACAGGGAATTTAAAATAATTATGATTAATATGTTAATATTAGAGGCTCTAACAGAATAAGCAGACAACTTATGAGAGACAGGTAACATAAGCAGAAAGATGGAAACTCTAACGACAAATTCTAAGGAAATGCTAGACATCGAAAACATTCTAACACAAATGAACAATGGCTTTGATGGGCTCCTCTGCAGACTGAACACATCCAAGGAAACAATCAGTGGGCCTGAAGATGGGTAAACAGAAGCTTTACAAACTGAAATGCAAAGACAAAAAGAACACAGCAGTCTAGGACTGTGGGAAAATTTAAAAA